TCTATAATGCAAATGGTCCATTGCAGGACGACAACAAGTTGTTGGATCAACTTGTATCGACGTCAACAACCTTGTAGCAAGTTGTTAACAGGCCGTTGAGAACTTGTCAACAAGCAGTGCGAACACATCCTGTTGACATGTTGTTGGAACAGCATTGCTACAAGTCTGCTGCAGGTTTGTCACAACTTGTGCGTTTTTATGTGTGTAGTTCCTTATTAAAGCATATAGTCTATACTGATACTTACATAACTGAGCAACAGAATAATAATCAAGTTAATCACAGCTGCCGTAGCGGTTACAGTGAAACTGATGCTAGTGATGTTCCCGTCATAAGCTGCCGTGAGTGAGGCAAATACTGCAAGCCTGTACACGATCACACCAAACACCGATGCTACCACAAGACAAATCTGGAAAAAAGATACGCAGAAATGCTGGTTTTGACTGGCTCAACAATCTAGGGTCGGTTGTAAGGATTAAACTCCTGGTCAAACGAACACCGCGGAAAAACGTCTGCGCATGCGTCAACCTTACCTGTAATAGTATTGCGAACTTGATGAAAAGCTGTTCCGAACGTTTCCAAAGGCTCAAAATGGCGGTAAAAAGGAGTGACTTCATTCTGCGTCTTTACAGCCAGATTTCGAGTGCAAAAATAAACATGTCATTCTAAAAACTAGGAATAAATACAGCCAGAAGGTTCAAGAAATTGTATTGTACAAGAACATGAACTAAAGGTGATTGTTGACAAATTTATCGTCTGAAACATTTTGTTTATCAACTAAGCAACGACAATTTCCGAATTTTCGTTTGAGATACATTTCTTTAAAAAAAACTGTGTCGCCAAATATAAAAAAAATTTCGTGTTCACAATAATTAAACTTTAGGATTTATTCTACAATTTGAGTGGGTTAAGAAGCTTAACTTTTCGAGAGTTTTCTTAACTTTTGAGTTTGAATTTTTGTTTTGAATAATTTTGCAAAAATTTTCGAAGTCGTGTCCGTTAAAATCAACAGTTTTTTACATGAATTATATTTCATTCTATACTTTAAATGCCAGGACGCTTTCAATTAATGTCTAGTCTATCCATTTGCTATATTTTCTCGTTTGTTTTACTAATTTTTGACCAATTAATAAGCATGTTTTTGTTTTAGAAATTGATATTCAAATTCCCCGCCATATTTTCATAATTTGGTGCATGCGCAGACGTTTTTCCGCGGTGTTGGTCAAACGAGAATAGCGAACTTAAGCAAAGCTTAATCTAGTACGGGGTCGTGACAAGAAACGGCCTTAAATTCAGGGCTGCAAATTACTGTCGGACATCGGACAATGTCCGACTAAATTTGGCAAATGTCCGAGCAAAAGTAGTTTTGATCGGACATTGGTCCGATCACAAAAAAATTGTCACATTATACATTTTTTGCTGTGACAAAATCCGATGCAAATTCACTCAATTTGCATCGTTGCGCCAGAATGGATATACATACTTGTCCCGTGACTTATAATATTAATATAGCTTGTGACGTATATTTGTCCGACCAAATTTAGCGGTGTTGGGTTTTGTCCGACCAAATTCAAGTTATGTCCGACCAAAATTAAAAGTGATCGGACAAATGTACTGTCAAGTCAAATATTTATTTGCAGCCCTGGAATTTTACACTTTTATAATTATAAAGAACTACTGTTATTAAGAACGTCAACTGGCCGGACAAAAGTGCAACGAGGACAGCTACTGTATCATATTAATACAAGAAAATGAGCAGAAATTGACAATTAGCCATTTCCCAATCGAGCAGAAGACTGGGTCTAGTTGATGTTTGGAGGGACGTTTGGAGGGACAACAAGTTACAGTGAGCGAGCTAAATATATATTAAAATAATTATATGCCTTATTAGAATTGTTGCGTTTCAGGCTGTACAAATAACTTTAGGAATATAGGAAAACTTCCTAGATGCCATATTCGGCATACTGTTTATTTTTTGTCCCGAGCCTGCGATCCTCGGGAAGGAACGTGAGGCTCTGGGATGATCCGTTTCAGGGAGGAATCCGATTGGCCGTTGATATGGAATGCGCAGTTCGGTCTTAGCCAGGATTCCTGGCTTCCGGCAACGGATTATCCCAGAGCCTCACGTTCCTTCCTGAGGATCGCAGGCTCTGGGAACGAGATTGGTCCCTCCAAACAAGCGACAGCACTGGGTTTTGCATTCTCGTACCCAGAGCCCTTCGTAAGCGCGGTGCGACGAGGGGCTCTGGCGAAATCCATATTCCGAACTGGCATCTGATTGGCTAGTTCTAACAACGGACATTGTTTTCTTACCATGTTTTTATGGCATCCGGTTATGGATTTGGCCAGAGCCCCTCGTCGCACCGCGCGTAAGAAGGGCTCTGGGTACGAGAATGTGGGTTTTGTAGATGGAAATTGTGAGTGTGCATTTTTAACAGAGCACGTACCATAAGTAGAACAGAGCTGGCACTAAGAATAAACCGCGGACATTTCATAGATGCAGGATAGTAAGGTTCTTGGGCCTGAAATACACAAAACAACCATATAATTACTTAAAAAAACTCTTTAATAATTCACGAGGAAAATACAAAAGAAATGAATGTTTAATCAATGTTTGTAAATCGGATAAAGATTTGTCCCGATTTACATAAACTTCAGCTTTGATTTTCTCGGCTTCGACAATGTTTATTTTTAAAATTACTTCGCCAATGAACTCATAAGATGGGTCGTTTTTTAAGCACGTTAAAACATTCGCATCCGATCTTTATCTGATATAAAACTCGAGCCGAAGGCGAGATCGGCTGCTCATGTTTTAACTAGTAGTACATATAAATTCACAATTAAATCGATGTCAGGCTGGTTATATAATCGACTGTTCGGGCTTTGGAGGCTCAGTCGACAGAGCAAGCGCCTCTGAGATCGTGGGTTTGATTCTCGCTACGGACTCATGTGAAAAGAGTCAGTCAACGCTCTGCCGAAAGTCGTGGGTTCTCTCCGGGCGCTCCGGTTTCCTCCCACAGGGAAAGTTGACAGGGTGGGTTAGGATAAACACAGTTAGTATAGGTAATAGCAATTTGGATATAACATGCACGAGTGAGTTTTTCAAAGACCTCAAAATAGCATGAGTCCGAGGACGAGTGCTATTTGAGGTCTTTGAAAAACTCACGAGTGCATGTTTATCCAAATTTCACGAGAAACCATGCTATTACTTATTAATAATTTACATAAAAATGTTCGAGACAATTGTAGTTTTAACATACGCGTTTATAGCGAACATTCCACTGGCAAAGTTTTCCTGGCTTTGTTTTATCACATTATACAACGCTAACAGCTTGAAAATTCCACTCAACTGTGTATTTTTTGTTAGTCTTGTTTAAGGTAAATGCTTTTCCATTTAAAAATGAAGATAAAAGCCATATTTTCCACGCGAAGGCAACTTTTACTTTGTGTAGCGCGGCGCCATGTTTGTTTTGTTTTGAAGCAATCTGTGACCGTTACTTCTTTAAACTAAATTGTTTTAAACTGATTGGTTGATTTAATCATCACAATGTTTTTCCACCAATCAGATCAGTTTGTTACAGATTTTTGCACTGTGATTACAGAAAATTGCACTGTGATTACAAAAAATTGCACTGTGATTACAGAAAATTGCACTGTGATTACAAAAAATTGCACTGTGATTACAGAAAATTGCACTGTGATTACAGAAAATTGCACTGTGATTACAGAAAATTGCACTGCTGTTTGGGATTAACTGCACCGAAATCAACCAATCACAGTCGAGTAATATCTTTATGTATATTATTAGCTTTATAATGGGCAAGTATTTATTAGCATTTCGTTCAATAATTTTACAAAAAAACTTATTCTTTCTAGTTTAGTAATTATCTTTCAACATGTCATGGACGAATCTTTGATGTAACTTCGGTCCATCCAAATTATATATATATATATATATATATATATATATATATATATATATATATATATATATATATATATATATATATATATATATAAAGATATATATATATATAAAGATAAAAAGATTAAATAAACCAGGTTTACTTCTTCCGATCCTCCTGCAAGGACCTACCTCCTGTATATAGCTCGTAGGTATCTTGATTAAATATTTTGATTGATTATATATATATTTATCTATCACTTATTTACTGAGACCGAGGGAAACAGTGTGTTTTGTAGCCTGCGAACAGGCCCTGGGTTGCGGGCGGCGCGAAGAATAGAGGGCCTGCACGGATGATAGGTTTTCTTGGTAGTGGCGTTCGTATAGAAACGCAGGCTTCTGATTGGCTTACACTCGTTGACAAAATTACTAAAAATAGCAAATGTCAACAACAGCATTTTGAAGAATTTGAACTTTATTCATTTTAATATTATATATTATAGGACTATCGAACAAATAAAACTAGAAATGGAAACCAAAAGCAATAGCAAAGCATCACAGCAAAAAAGTCTATCATAAATGACTTGAATCTATCGCTTAAATCCAATATATGAAACTATAACAGTATTCTGAACTTCGTCTTCGGATTGACATCAGACCATAGTATAG